TTAAAAGCAAAATACATTTATTGAGGGAAAGAAAGCTGTCCAAGAGACGTACAGAAGGGTAACCGAGTGGGTTGCCAAGGAGTCTGCCTTTTTAAGGGATTTTTATAGAGCAAAACCACCAGGTAAGGCAGGTCTAAGGTGGAAAACATGGGAACTTGCTTAGGTAGGCCTGGGGAGGGACAAAACTGTGGTCAGCCAGTGAGACTCTAAGCATAATTGGTCAGGTAAAATTGCTTAAATCAAGATCAAATGGGGACGTGATTCACATAGTGTGTGGGCTGGAGTACAAAGCAGGGGCTCTTCCTGGCTCTTTCAAGGTGATTGACACCTATTTAGAATAGCAATCCCTGGTGCCCGTCCCTAGGGAGGTATGTGGATGCATTTGTTTAATCTTTTGTCTTGAGGTCTGGTCCACGGCAGGGAATGCCTCTCTCTCCCACTAGGTCTCTTGTCTTCCCTGTTGGGTCCTTTAGGGGCCTAGCCTATAATATTTCTGTCTAACTTAGCTGCCTCCAGTAATTCCAGCATTTGCGATGTTGAGACAGGAATATCACTGCAAGTTCAAGGCCAGCCTGGGCTACGTAAGACCCTGCGTCAGAACAAAACAAAAAGATTATTTCAAGCACATATACACACAAAAAAGCTGACTGCCCATGTGATATCTCGTTTATGCCCTGATGGAGGACTGGGTGTCAGAGACTTGGACAGTGGCAGACCAGCGGCTAAGATTTGGAGAGGGCTGCTGATGGTCAATAAAGGTGACTGTGGCTCTCTTCCAGGGTGGCCTGGGCCCTGGACCTTCCTGTCAAGGCAGGGGAGGGCAGGGCACTGTGTGACAGAAAGGGTGGTCAGTGGAGATCCCCCGTCCCCTCCCTTCCCCATGTTGTACCTTGGGCAACTCTTGACAGGCTGTGTCTCCAAGGAAATGCTTAAAAGCCTCCAAAGAAGCTTTCTTGGTGAAGAATTTCTTTTTGGGGGGGCGAAACCAGGGATTGAAGTCGGGCCCTTGCGTTTGCCAGGAAAGCACTTATTCCACTGAGCCATCTCCCCAGCCCCAGTGAAGAATTTCTGTAGGGACCCCATTTCAAGCAGTTATGAAATCTACAGCTTTCTTGGTCTTCTGTAAAATGGGACTTTTACGTTCTGATTTGTGTCAAGCAAAGCAGATCTGAGTAAGAAGAGAGACCTCCAGGATGGGCTGGGAGAGACAGCTTGTTGGTTGTCCCCCTGCCCACCATGGAGAGTCAGGTATGGTGGTACACACCTGTAATCTGAGCACTCTGGGCTGCTGAGCAGGAGGATTGCTAATTTCAAGCCCAGCCAGGCAATTTAGTGACTTAGCAAGACCCTGTTTCAAAATAGAAGGAAACCAAAAGGTCTGGGGACATA